GCCACCTGGAGACTGGCAGGAGGGGCAGAGATAGGGAATGGGGTGGTCCCACAGCCGTGCATGGTGGTTGAGAATTGGGAGGGGTATCTCGGCGGCAGAGGTCTCTCCTGAGGTGCAAGGGGTCCCAGACCCACGCTGGGCTCACCACCCCAGAGTGCCAGTGCCGGGAAGAGGAATCTCCCCAACATCTGGCTGTGAAAATCAGCAGGGACTCCATCCTGGTGAGATGAAGAGCTGCTGTACCTATAGGAGTCCCCCTTCAAGGGCAGGGACTCTGAACACAGATCCAATGGCTCAGAAACACTGGTCCTAAGCTCCACAGAGCTTGCAAAGCACCTGTGGGACTTACGGGGAGGAACTGGGTCATCTGGCTGCAGCACAAGGGCTGAAAGGGCAGCTTTCTCTCGGACCGAGGTGCGGTCAGGGACTTCCGATCTTTGCTGATGGCTCACAGCCAGCGGGCTAGGCGGAAGTGCTGGCAGGCAGGGATGTTCCTTTGTTGAGCCCTTCCCCCACATGGCTCGCAGGGGAAGATGGGTATCAAATCCGAGTCTCCATTAACTTGACTAACACCGCTCACCCAACCCTGGTAATTCCTTAGGACCGTGCCACACCCAACTCACATGCCTAGACCTCTCTCCATGGCTGTTCCACACAAGTGGACGGCCGCAGCCCGTGCTGCAGAATTTCCCAAAATCTCTCAAAGGTCCACAAACCTCCAGCTTCAGCTTGCCCCGTACACCTCACCAAGTGGCTGCAAGCCTGGCACTAGTGGTGGTCATCCTCGGTTCACAGCATAGCCTCTGCCAGGCACCTTCAAGCCCAGCACCAGCAACTACCAACCACAGAGCACGTTGTAGGTCCTACCTTCTGGCCCTAGGCCAGCACAGGCCATGGCTGACCTTGGCCTGCACTGGACCCCTCCCAAGATGTCCTGCAGCCAACATGCCCAGTATCAGGCTTCAGAGCACTGCCCCATGAGCTCCACAGACGACACAACCAGAGGGTGCACTGGGTAGGCACCAGAGCCCCACTATAACAAATCCCACTCTGTGAGGTCCTCCCCCACACAACACCTCATCACCTGTAGTATTGGCCATTCATCACAGCCAGTCAACCCGAGGGCCCATCCCAACCACAGATGTGCCAAGAGCAATCAAGGTTCAACTACAACAGGAGGGCACACACCCCCCACCCCCCAGCAGCACCACTCCCCCCACCAGATTACAGAAGCAATAAAGGTTGCTGCTCAGCTGACTGTGGCGGACTGACTCTCCCCCGCATTTTCCAGGTCCAGCCGGGCCCACTGGGGCTGCTGGGGGTGGCCATGCGCACTGTACCTGCCTGCTTCCAGGGGCCACCATTAGCGTGACTGCAGGATGCTGCATGTAGCTGTGCTCATACAATGTGGGAATCCTGGTAACTACCACTCCCATGAAGACGGAGAACATGCCAGTAGCTCTCGAGCCCTCCTTTTGCTCCAGGCCAATCACGGGCCCAGCATTAGTCCTCCTGAGGGTTACTGCTGTCTGACCTTTCCAATAAGCATTCGTGTCTTTTGAAAGGGTAACAATTGCTCTTTCCTAAATAACCCCTCCAAAGTTATCAAGGATAAATGACCTGACATGAGAAATTGACTACCTTGGTAAAACACACTCTACATATACACCACTGTAGAAGGCATACGCCTACAATTAGACAAATACCTGTGAAGTGATCAAGCCGTGTAACAGGACCCAATGGAAGAAAAGGTGCATTGCACCTCCAGAAGTCCCCTTCTGGGAAGGAAGCCGAATGGAAAAGTCCACATCCTGCAGGAGTCCATCACAGGGCATTCTGAGAAAGCCAGCCTGTAGGGACAGATGCACACTGGTGGTTGTTGGGGTCTGGGGGTTGAGAGAAGGGAGGAATTTGGGGGTGAAGAAAATGTTCTATATTTTGGTGGTGGTGGTGACTCTGTGACAATATGCATTTATGAGGACTCAGAAAACCCTGTGTGTAAATTATGCCTCAGTAATGCCCAACTTTAAGTGAAATTGTAAAAAGTACATCACAACTGCATATTTATACTTACTATTTTTTCTGATGATGATATCATAATTCTCTCCTGCAATCTGATCATGTGGAATGTTTTGTTACTTCATTCACCGAAGTTCGATCAACTTTGTATTCCTCAGATGAATCCACTTCAGTCATTGTATATTATGTACTTTCCTTCCTATGCCATGTAGGATCCTGTCTGCTCATATTGTGTTTCTGATTCTTGCATCCATGTCATGAGTGTGTGGTTGACCCACGGTTTTACTTTTTCAAACTGTCTGTGACAGGACTCAGTATGAAGGTTACCTTCTTGGCAAAAGGAATTAAGGATGGTCCCTCCTTTCCTACTTTTTTCCAAGAGTTTGTGTCAAATTGAAAATATTTATGCCTGGGCTGTATGTCAGAACTCAGTGGGGAAGACTGGAGTTTTGTGAAAAGTGTTTTGACCTTCGACATATATTTTTATGGTTATGGAATGATGTAGCTTACCTATTCCTTCCTCAGTCATTTTGTGCAGGTTATGTTTTTCCAAACATTGGTCACCTTTTTCTAGGTTTCAGATTGAAATAAAATGGTCTGTAACATGCTCTTCCTCCCCACATTTTAATTTGGCTTTGCAGATAGGTGCAAGAGAATAGCCATAACACCCATATACACTTCACCTGGATTCGCTGATTATTAATCATTTTTCACCTCTCTCTCTCTCTCTCTCTCTCTCTTTCTCTGTGGTTTGTTAACTCATTTGTGTGTCTCTCTCCGTGGTTTGTCAAGTCATTTGTCTCTCTCTCTCTCTCTCCCTTCCTTCCTCCCTCTCTAATTGTTTTGTTAAGTAATTTAACTTACTTGAAGACATTATGATCAGTACCTCATCCCTAAATATTTGGCATGTATCTTTCTTTAAAAAAAGAGATTTATGTATTTTTACAGTGAGGGGAAGGGAGGGAGAAAGAGAGAAATATCAATGTGTGCTAAAGAAACATTGATTAGTTTCCTCTAGCACACTCCCAACGGGGGACCTGGCCTGCCAGGCATGTGCCCTGACCCGAAATCCAACCAGTGCCCTTTCAATTTGCAGGATGACACTCTACCCACTGAGCAACAACCATTGGGGCATGAATTTCTTAAGATTTTATTTATTTATTTTTTTAGAGAGGGAAGGGAGGGAGAAAGAGAGAGAGAGAGAAACATCAATGTGCGGTTGCTGGGGGTCACGGCCTGCAACCCAGGCATGTACCCTGAGAATCGAACCTGCAACACTGGTTCGCAGCCCGCGCTCAAACCACTGAGCCATGCCAGCCAGGGCCTGAAGTGCTTCTTCATCTGGAGGTCCCACCCTCACAAGTGTTGCGCCCGCCACCACAAGGTGGACCCATCTCCCTGCTTTGTGCATGGGTATCTGATGCTCAGTGTTGCGATTCTAGTTGGGAAGAAGGTGCCTGGTCAGAGGAGGCCGGACAGGATATGATGGGAAGAGAGCCCCAGGATACCGGACTCCACTGCCAGATTCAGACCTGCTTCCCGCATCTGATGTAGCGGGAGGCTTCTGGGCCAACCAGAGACCCTCGCCCTATTGGCTAGTGCCTTGAGGCATGTGCATACAAGGGGCATGCTGATTGGCAGCGGGTTTTAGACCAATAAATGGGCTTCAGCCTGGTGTCAAAGGTGAGTGGAACACGCCCATTGTTGCGTGACAAGTCATGCGTTGCCTGTGGCAACCGACACGCAGCTTCCTCAGAAGGCTCAGTGCTCCTGCTGCCAGCCAGCGGACTGTCCCGCCAAGGCCACCTTGACCGGGTAACTGTCTCAGCAGAAGCTGAAGTTTTCACACTTGGCAACATGAGCTCACCCGACGAAGACGAGGGATCTGTATCGAGCGCAGAGGTAGACTCAGAGTGCAGGGAGAGGGCCGGCACAGTAGACCTTCCTTTGGGGTCACCACCGAGCAGCGAGGGTGGGGACAAGGGTGAGGGCGAGGGCGAGGGCGAGGGCGAGGGCGAGGGCGAGGGTGAGGTTGCAGGCGAGGGCGGGTTCCCACACCCCGAGGGCTTCCTGGCCCAACAGCATGTGATGGAAGCAGGAGGGCTAGAGCAGCAGGACTGCAAAGGCCAAATGGGATCTCTGGCTGACTTAGAGGGGACACTCGAGGTCTCTAATGGGAATTCCAGAGGGGCTGACTGAGGGAGATACCCAGGGTGTTCACAGGAGCCCCTCCCAAGAGCCCTGTGACAGGGGAGTGTCCACCATGTGGTTGGGACCCAGAGCCTGCTCCCAGTGGTACAGGCATGGTGACCTATGGCTTGGAGGGACTGCAGTTGGCCTCTGGCGCCCCTGCTCCACCTCAGAGAGCCTAAGGGAGGCCTGTCCTGGGAAAGCTCCCCAAAATGTGCTAGGTGTACGTCGAAAGCCAGTGGTAGTTACCAGCATCCATTTGAGGAAGGGGCAGATTTCTCCCTGTGGCCCGTCTCCAAGTCACCGGATGAGGTCAGTGAGATGCGCCTGATAAGGTTGATCATTTCTCAGGATGAAGGAGGCCAGGCCAAACCCACCAGCTCCAATGACACACCCGGTCACTCAAGAACCGACATCAGGCAGAAGTTCCTCCTCATGCGGGGCCCTTGCCTGTCCACTCCACAACGACTCACTTCAGGTGTGGAAAGGCAGGGTATTGATGATCCAGAAGTGCCCTCTAAGAAACCAGAGAGTATGATCAGGGGGAAGGCTGAGGGCAGGCCCAGCTACCTGCCCTTAGTTGCTGTTGCAGGTGGCCTGCCCAAGGCCAATCCAAGGAAAGTGTCCAAGCAGAAGACATCTCAGTGGCGGGCCATAGAAGTTGCTCCTGGGAGTTTCTTTCCTCCCTGGTGGCAGAGAGACTCAGGAGGTCTGGAGGATCCAGCCACCTTTCCCCCGATCTCCGATGTGCTGCTGCCTGGGAGGGGGCAGGAGGCATTCTTTGGTCCCTTTTGAAACCAAAGAGTCCAAGCCCACTGGCACAGGGCCAAAGTCAATGACATGGAGGAGGAGGGTGTCCAGGCCTGTGGTGGGAGAAGAAGATAAGGAAGAGAAAAAAGATGGATTCCCAGAGAGCCAAGTGAGTATCAGGCCATGCTCCTCCCTGGTTCCCATCCTTCTCCTGCCCAGCCCTGCACATCTTTACCTATGTGTCCTCTGTCTGTTACTCGGAGGTTGTTATTGGGTGCCCTCCATCATTAGAATGCCCGATCAGGGTGGTTTTAGAATGGCAAACCTTAAGACAGCACTGCTTGTGTCGTGGGCAACATACTGCACAAATGGTCAGTTTCCTAGCCTCATCCACCAGAGAGTGGCCAAGATGGCAGGCATGGCTGGGACAGTGGATTAGGATCAGGGACACTTTCAAAGTTTGGGCTGCAAAAGTTAGGTATATGGATGCATCAGCTGCCTGACTCCTACCTCATAGGTACTCCCCAGCCTCCCCTTGCAGGGGGCCTGCTTTCTCTGCACCCCACTGTTCTCTCCAGCTCAGCTCTGCCTCCTGGCCCAGGGCTGCCTGAGGGAGGATGTGCTGAGGAGCTCAGTCTCGGAACTGCCTTTCCTCTCCCCTGCCCCACCCCAGCCCCTACACACACATAAGCACACACAAGCCCACACTCACCCATGTGTACACATCCTGAGTTCAAATCAATGGGGACTTTTTGTTTCAGTCTCTGACACAAGGGCAGAGACTACCCTTTCCTTGTGGGCATCATGGACCAAGAGGCACTGGCACCATGAACAACAGACACACCCAGGATCTGGCACACTCAGAGCCCTTGGCACTGCTTGGGGAAGAAGTCTTGGCCAGTGGGCCCGCACCTTCCAGTGAGTCCCATGAGTTTGCTGGGAGTGGAGAGGACAGAAGACAAGGAGGGAAATGTCTGCCTCTGCCTCTACCTATGGCTGTGGCTCTGCCATGACCTCAGCCTTCTCCCTCCCTCCCTCCCTAGCCAGACAGTTTCTCCTATAGAAAACAGGGTGTCAATAGGCCTGGACCCAAGTCACCTCATCTCCTGTGTGAGATTTATGTGCAGGGGTCATTTGTGGCAGTGTCGCAAACTGCAACTCCAGACCTTGAGTTTCAGCAGAACAGGGCCTTTTCTGATAAGTCCTGTTGGGCCACAGGGCCTCGTCTCCCAGGGGCTGGTTGTGACTGCAGCTCTGCAAGTGTCCAACCCAGAGCCACACACAGTTTTGGGGGCCACAGTCCTGGGTGGGCTGCCCCTGGGACACAGGGAAGGGGGCCCAGAGAGAAACGTGGAGGTACTGGGTAGGGCAGGGGCAACTTTCTGCCAGCAGAGGGAGATGCTGCCTCACCTTAGACTCTGCTAAGCCCTTTCCTCCCTGGGAGCTTTGGAAGCTGTATTTTGTGTTCTTTCCTCTCAGGTGATCTTGACCTTCTTGAAGAACCTCGAAGACCAAAAAGGTTGCAAAAACCACAGCCACAGCAACCACTTGGAGCAGAGGGTTGTCCTTGGGTAATGCTTCCTCTGGCTCCTAGAAATGCAGGCCCAACCTAGACTATGGGATCTGTCTCTGGGTTAGTGACTCATCTCCCACCCCAAACTCCTCACCACCACCACCCCGTACCTCACGGAGGGTACATGCCTCCTTTTCCACTGAGGAGCCCTAGCAGATCTTGCCCCCTAGATGGGAAGAAGGGGTGTCCAGAGGAGAGGAGGCCTGAGTATGCTAATCATTTCTCTTTCTCTTTTGTCTCTTGGCCTAGTGCTGCCATCTACAGAAGGAAATAAGCTGCTTGAAACAACACTGTGGTATGAGGAACATCTGGCATGGCCTGAGTCAGGGCCACCAGCAGACTTACCATGGGGAGGGTGCGGGCTGCACGTCCCAGGGACCAACATTCCTGTGGGGAGGTGAACCAAGCAGCTTGGCCCTGGAGCCTGCCATGCATGCGCAGCCAGTTTTCTGGACAAGGAGGAAAAGTGTGGCTCAGAATGCAAGCACACTGTGGCAGCCCCAACCAGTCCTAGAGCTCTCCTTCCCTAGGACGTCTAGAGATGCTGCCTCTCTGATTTTCCCTTCAATACTGCTGGGTATGGCCTCTGTGGGTCTTGTTTGTCTGACAAGTTCTGAGTGGTTCTGATATGCCCCCAAGCTTGAGCACTCCTGGGCACATGTTGTCCTGCTTGAAAAACATGTCCACCTTCCATTCAGGGGGTGGGGGAGTGAGTCAGGCCCAGGGCTCCTTGGGTAGGGTTCTGCAGGGGGTTTCTGTTGCAGGGCAAGACGCCTTGTCCCAGGGACAAGGGGGATGGGCTTCAGTATCCCTCCCTCTGGAATGACTGCTTATGCCTCTCTGTGTTTCAGCGGCCTTGCAGTCCCTGATCGAGAAGCTCCTGAGACATTAATGTGAGTGTTATGCACACCATGCTCTTTCCCCAAAGTGGTGGCTGTTGAGGAGTGCTGTGGGCTGGTGCTGGTGGGACATTCCTTCCTGACTCTGCCCTGTTTGACAGGTGGAACCAGACCCTTCAGCCAAGAACAGCAGTTGGTACCCTGGAGCTGGGGAACCCTGGCCAAGCTGGATTCTTCCTGTTCCACTTCAGCCAGGGCTTCCTCGTACTCCCTTCTGTTGATTCCTCACCACCTCGTTTGTCAACACTTTTACATTAAAGTCTCCTGAAATTCTGTGGTCTCCGAAAGAAGTGGAGTGTGTGGATGTGGGATTCTGGGCTGGGAGGACCTAGAGCTTCTCCATCTCAGAGCTCTTTGCACAGCAGTAGGCCTGACATTCTGTGGTGGGCTTTTTGCATGCAGGGCTTCGGGGCCAGCATGTGATAGGAGCCCTGCAGTCAGGCCACCTGATGCCCTGGGCCTGGGCTCTGGGTGGCTCTGCCTGGCCACATTGACATTTCCTGCTTTTCCCCTGTAGCCCCTCTTGTGACTCTGTCCTGCTGTCATCTGCATTTGGAGTCTCATCACATTTGTCACTGAATTTTCCCTTGCCTTCAGGAACTCATGACCCCCTTCCAGAGTTCAGTCCCTCTAGCCATCAGTCATCTGTTCCTGGGTGGGTGTTCCATCTGCCCTACATTGCTGTCTGAACATCCTTGATCTCCCCCCAGGGCTTCCCACAGTGGCCTTGTCTGAACCTGTGATTCAACAGGTGTAATAGTGCCCAGTTGAGCTCTTCTCCCTAGTTCCCAGGACCAGTCACTGCGGAGTCCTTCCCTCCCTCTGGGGCCCATGTGCACATGTACACTCACCCAGGAACCTGGGGGATATTTTCCTCCCCTTTAGCTCTCACCTTTGATCCTCAGGTATGAGTCTAGTCAGGTCTTCTCTTGGATTCAATGGAGGGGGTGGAGGCAGAAGCCACAGAGCAGGGTCTTCTAGATCAAAGGGGAAGGTTCAGGGATCATGGAGAAAAAAGGGCACACATTGGTCTCCAGTTAAAGGTCAGGGAATCAGTCTTGTGCTAGGTGGTGGCCATGTTCCAGAAGGAGTGGTCACAACCTTCCTGGCCTCCCCCAGCCAATGCTCCTCCTGTAGCCTAGTCATCTCCACACCTTCCTGTGGAAAGTAGGCGGCCAGTGTCTATGGTGAAGGCAGTTAGTAGGTCTCACTCTTGTTGAATGGTGCCTTTCAAATACACTTGGACCCGCCTGGGACTCAGGTTTTCATGGCAATGGTAGTTCTGAGCCCCAGTTCAGTCTCCCATCCTCCCCTCTTAGGTCACACAAGGTTGAGTGTGACTCTGTTCAATTTCCCCTCACTGACTGCTGGGAATTGGTTTCTTCCTTCAGCCAGCACCCAGCACCCAGAGCTGTGCGGGCCTGGGACTCAGGACACACTTGTATTTGAGAGGGTTGGGGGCTGGTTCTGCCACACTCCATTCCCAAGAGACTGGTGTTTAATACACAAATGAGGGATGGTGTGGATAGAACACTCAAGGTAGGGTGTGTGTGTGTGTGTGTGTGTGTGTGTGTGTGTGTGTGTGAATAAAACTGACCAAGATAACATCCCTTGAGGAGAAACATGTGGTTGGGGGTAAGTCAGTAGTGACTGTGGTCAAGGCCCTTAACACATGGGGGGGAGCAAAAGCAAGTGTGGGATGTACCTTTATCAAGGGGCAGCGTTACATCACCAACACATTGGGGGTGGTGAGTATGCAGAAGTCCCGCCTTCGACAGGCAGGGTGTCCAGAATATGAAAATGTGGGAGTTGGTGGAGGTGGCTGTGGATCATACTTTTGGACCTATGATGTCTAAGCATTCCTAGAGGCAGGGGGTTAGAAACAGGAAATTTATGTCTCAACAAAAATTGAAAAATTCACAGCAATGTCAAAATTAGACTCTTGAAGAACAAAAAGAAGTCAAGAGAAATCAGAGAGTATGTTGAAACAAGTGAAAAGTGAAGCACAACATGTTGAAATGTATCAGAAGCAGCAAAAGTGGTACCAATGGGGGGAGTTCAGATTCAATAAATACCTACATTAGAAAAACAGTGATATAAAAAACCTTAACATTACACCTCGGAGAATTTGAAAAAAACAAACTAACCCAAAGGTAGAAGAAAGAAGGCAATTAAAGTTAGAGGAGAAATAAGTAACAGAGTAAAGGAAGAGTGAAGAAACATGAACAAAAGTAAAAGTTAGGTTTTTCCAAAGCTAAGGACAATTCACAAACCCTAAGCAAGGCTAACTAAGAGTAAACTAGAGATGACTGAAATAACACAAATCAGAAATAAAAGAGGAGACATCAAAATGGATGCCTGAGAAATATAAAAGATCATGACAGACCACAATGTGCAATGATATGCCCATACATTGGATAACACAGAGGACATGGTTACATTCCTAGAAGCATACAGTCCACCAAGACTCAATCATAAAGAAATACAAAAAATCTGGATCAGAGCAGACCAAAATGATGATGCATTAGGTCCCAGATTTCCTATGACCCTACAGAGATCAACAAGTGAAGAGCTGTCCCTGAAAAAAGATTAAAATAAAAAAAAAGAAGGAAAAAAAAAGCGAGCTCTTGGAGGGCTCTAGACTCCACTTCAGAAGTCTTAGCAACACAGTGGAACAAAGGCCCTGGGGATGATGACACAAGAAGAGAAGAACAGCTTCATTGGGCCTGTATCATCCCATCTCCCCAGCAGGCATCATTCAGCACCACAGAGAAATCTCCCGGCTAAAAAGAGTTCCTCTCACCAGGAACTCTGCTCACCTCAGCAGGGGAGCACCCCAACAGCCTTCCAGGATGTCACACAAAGGTCTCAGCTCCATCTCTTCCCATGTAGACCAGCAAAGTGGAGTCATATAGGCCCAGCTGGGAACAAGAAGAAACGCAGGGGTCATTATTAGCAGACATGCAATGGGCACAGTCAGGGAGTGACCTGCTTTGCAGACATACTCAGCAGATTTCACTACAGTTGAAGGCAATGGCCAGCCCCCAGAACCATGAACCCCCTGCATATTTACCCAGCTTTCCCCCTGAAAGGTATTTGTATTCTCTTTTTCTAAAAGATTTTATTAATTTATTTTTGGAGAGGGGAATGGAGCGAGAAAGAGAAGGGGAGAAACATCCATGTGTGGTTGCCACTCAAGCACCCCCTGGGGGATCTGGCCAGCAATCCAGACATGTGTCCTGACAGCAAATCAAACCAGTGACCCTTTGGTTTACAGGCCAGTGCTCAATCCACTGAGCCACACCAGCCAAGACAGTATTTGGATTTTCTGATGCCAGCTTCCCGAGTCCCTTCACATACCCTCCCCTCCACACCTGCCAGAGCTTGGGAGCCATGCTGGGAGCCATGCTGGCAGCCAGCTGGGGGCCTCAGCAGCTACATGAGTGCAGGACGCCAGCCTAGAGGACCGCTGGCAGACCCTCACTGCCATGCCTTTGGTCAGGGATAGCCCTGTCAGCTGTGCACCCGCACACCATCAGGCTGATGCCCAAGTCTGGCCTCCACTGCAGTGTGCATGCCCAGGGGGAGAGTGTGCAGCCACAGGGGGAGCACACCAACAGCCAGGGTCTCTGCACCTGCTTGTGGGCCCAGATAAGGCCCTGCCTTCAGTCCCTGGCTGGCACCAGCATACCCAGCTGTCACCAGACCCTCCATTGGTGCACCTGCACACCCCCAGCCCGAACCCCATCCCCAGCCTCCACTGCAGTGTGCATGCCTACAGACAGAGTGTGCAGGCATGGAAGAGCATGCTGACAGCCAGGGCCTCTGCAGCCACCAGTGAGCCCAGAGTTGGCTCCAGCCATTGCTGCCCACCCTAGTCCCCATCACTATCTGTATCTGCACCTGGCCCCCTGCCACTACAAAAGTACCTGCAGCTGGCCCCCACAGTGGACTGTGTGCACAACACTGGCTCTTGCCATCAACACTGCTTGCTCTGGTCCCTAGCCACCACAACTGGAGATGCCACTGAAGACCCCAACAGACCTTGCAGCCACTGCAGATCCCCTGCAGTGCTCAGCCAAGAGCACACATTTGGTGATGCTGTGGACCCCACTGGCTTCAGCTGACGTGGTATCACACACCCCTGCACCCGGTGCTGTTATGTGCCCCCCACACTTGGTACCCTGCAGCACAATACACAGGCCATGCCATGCTCCAGTGTGCCCCAACCCACAGGTAAAAGGCTTCCCTTACTGAAGGCAGTCCCTAGAGTCTGGAAGACATGATTGCTCCTTCAACTACACAGAAACCTATGCAAGGCTACCAGAGTCTTGAATGATCTGGGAAAGATGACTCCACTAAAGCAAAGGGTAAACCTCCAGTAAGTAGCCCCCAAAGGAATGGCAGTCCAAGGAATGGATCTGACAGGGAATGCAAAATAACGGTTCTAGGGTTTCACAGACAGCTACGAGAGAACACAGATAAGCAATACAATGGTATCGGGAAAACAACAAAAGAACAAAATGAAAGTTCAACCAAGAAACTGAGAATAAGAACCAAGCAGAAATTTGGGGGCTGAACAACACAATGACTGAACCAAACAACTCAACAGAAAGCTTTAACAGCTAGCAGAAGAAGGAATCAGTGACATACTGGGGAATATCCACTGAAATTGTCCAATCAGAGGCACGCAAAGAACAAAGAATGAAAATGAATGGAGAAGCCCTGAGTGGCGTAGCTTAGTGGATTGAGCGTGGGCTGCGAACCAAAGCATCGCAGGTTCGATTCCCCAGTCAGGGCACATGCCTGGGTTGCAGGCCACGGCCCCCCAGCAACCGCACATTGATGTTTCTCTCTCTCTCCCTCCCTTCCCTGTCTAAAAAATAAATAAATAAAATCTTTTTTTAAAAAAGAAAAAATGAATAAAGAAAGATTACAGGGCTTATGGGACACCATCAAGAGAAATGATGAAAGCATTGTCGGAATCCACAAGAAGAGAGGAAGAAAGGGGGAGGAAGTTTATTCAAATAAATAAGGGCCGTAGCCATAATCAGGATGGCAGAGTAGGTAATGTTGTGCTGGCCTTCCCCTACAGCCACAGCACAATTACAACTGATTGATAGAACAGCCACCATTGAGAACCACCTGAAGACTATGTGAACCTAACTCCTGTAACGAAGGTTATCAAAAAGCCACCTGGAGACTGGCAGGAGGGGCAGAGATAGGGAATGGGGTGGTCCCACAGCCGTGCATGGTGGTTGAGAATTGGGAGGGGTATCTCGGCGGCAGAGGTCTCTCCTGAGGTGCAAGGGGTCCCAGACCCACGCTGGGCTCACCACCCCAGAGTGCCAGTGCCGGGAAGAGGAATCTCCCCAACATCTGGCTGTGAAAATCAGCAGGGACTCCATCCTGGTGAGATGAAGAGCTGCTGTACCTATAGGAGTCCCCTTCAAGGGCAGGGACTCTGAACACAGATCCAATGGCTCAGAAACACTGGTCCTAAGCTCCACAGAGCTTGCAAAGCACCTGTGGGACTTACGGGGAGGAACTGGGTCATCTGGCTGCAGCACAAGGGCTGAAAGGGCAGCTTTCTCTCGGACCGAGGTGCGGTCAGGGACTTCCGATCTTTGCTGATGGCTCACAGCCAGCGGGCTAGGCGGAAGTGCTGGCAGGCAGGGATGTTCCTTTGTTGAGCCCTTCCCCCACATGGCTCGCAGGGGAAGATGGGTATCAAATCCGAGTCTCCATTAACTTGACTAACACCGCTCACCCAACCCTGGTAATTCCTTAGGACCGTGCCACACCCAACTCACATGCCTAGACCTCTCTCCATGGCTGTTCCACACAAGTGGACGGCCGCAGCCCGTGCTGCAGAATTTCCCAAAATCTCTCAAAGGTCCACAAACCTCCAGCTTCAGCTTGCCCCGTACACCTCACCAAGTGGCTGCAAGCCTGGCACTAGTGGTGGTCATCCTCGGTTCACAGCATAGCCTCTGCCAGGCACCTTCAAGCCCAGCACCAGCAACTACCAACCACAGAGCACGTTGTAGGTCCTACCTTCTGGCCCTAGGCCAGCACAGGCCATGGCTGACCTTGGCCTGCACTGGACCCCCTCCCAAGATGTCCTGCAGCCAACATGCCCAGTATCAGGCTTCAGAGCACTGCCCCATGAGCTCCACAGACGACACAACCAGAGGGTGCACTGCAGGCACCAGAGCCCCACTATAACAAATCCCACTCTGTGAGGTCCTCCCCCACACAACACCTCATCACCTGTAGTATTGGCCATTCATCACAGCCAGTCAACCCGAGGGCCCATCCCAACCACAGATGTGCCAAGAGCAATCAAGGTTCAACTACAACAGGAGGGCACACACCCCCCACCCCCCAGCAGCACCACTCCCCCCCACCAGATTACAGAAGCAATAAAGGTTGCTGCTCAGCTGACTGTGGCGGACTGACTCTCCCCCGCATTTTCCAGGTCCAGCCGGGCCCACTGGGGCTGCTGGGGGTGGCCATGCGCACTGTACCTGCCTGCTTCCAGGGGCCACCATTAGCGTGACTGCAGGATGCTGCATGTAGCTGTGCTCATACAATGTGGGAATCCTGGTAACTACCACTCCCATGAAGACGGAGAACATGCCAGTAGCTCTCGAGCCCTCCTTTTGCTCCAGGCCAATCACGGGCCCAGCATTAGTCCTCCTGAGGGTTACTGCTGTCTGACCTTTCCAATAAGCATTCGTGTCTTTTGAAAGGGTAACAATTGCTCTTTCCTAAATAACCCCTCCAAAGTTATCAAGGATAAATGACCTGACATGAGAAATTGACTACCTTGGTAAAACACACTCTACATATACACCACTGTAGAAGGCATACGCCTACAATTAGACAAATACCTGTGAAGTGATCAAGCCGTGTAACAGGACCCAATGGAAGAAAAGGTGCATTGCACCTCCAGAAGTCCCCTTCTGGGAAGGAAGCCGAATGGAAAAGTCCACATCCTGCAGGAGTCCATCACAGGGCATTCTGAGAAAGCCAGACCTGTAGGGACAGATGCACACTGGTGGTTGTTGGGGTCTGGGGGGGTTGAGAGAAGGGAGGAATTTGGGGGGTGAAGAAAATGTTCTATATTTTGGTGGTGGTGGTGACTCTGTGACAATATGCATTTATGAGGACTCAGAAAACCCTGTGTGTAAATTATGCCTCAGTAATGCCCCAACTTTAAGTGAAATTGTAAAAAAGTACATCACAACTGCATATTTATACTTACTATTTTTTCTGATGATGATATCATAATTCTCTCCTGCAATCTGATCATGTGGAATGTTTTGTTACTTCATTCACCGAAGTTCGATCAACTTTGTATTCCTCAGATGAATCCACTTCAGTCATTGTATATTATGTACTTTCCTTCCTATGCCATGTAGGATCCTGTCTGCTCATATTGTGTTTCTGATTCTTGCATCCATGTCATGAGTGTGTGGTTGACCCACGGTTTTACTTTTCAAACTGTCTGTGACAGGACTCAGTATGAAGGTTACCTTCTTGGCAAAAGGAATTAAGGATGGTCCCTCCTTTCCTACTTTTTCCAAGAGTTTGTGTCAAATTGAAAATATTTATGCCTGGGCTGTATGTCAGAACTCAGTGGGGAAGACTGGAGTTTTGTGAAAAGTGTTTTGACCTTCGACATATATTTTTATGGTTATGGAATGATGTAGCTTACCTATTCCTTCCTCAGTCATTTTGTGCAGGTTATGTTTTTTCCAAACATTGGTCACCTTTTTTCTAGGTTTCAGATTGAAATAAAATGGTCTGTAACATGCTCTTCCTCCCCACATTTTAATTTGGCTTTGCAGATAGGTGCAAGAGAATAGCCATAACACCCATATACACTTCACCTGGATTCGCTGATTATTAATCATTTTTCACCTCTCTCTCTCTCTCTCTCTCTCTCTCTTTCTCTGTGGTTTGTTAACTCATTTGTGTGTCTCTCTCCGTGGTTTGTCAAGTCATTTGTCTCTCTCTCTCTCTCTCCCTTCCTTCCTCCCTCTCTAATTGTTTTGTTAAGTAATTTAACTTACTTGAAGACATTATGATCAGTACCTCATCCCTAAATATTTGGCATGTATCTTTCTTTAAAAAAAGAGATTTATGTATTTTTACAGTGAGGGGAAGGGAGGGAGAAAGAGAGAAATATCAATGTGTGCTAAAGAAACATTGATTAGTTTCCTCTAGCACACTCCCAACGGGGGACCTGGCCTGCCAGGCATGTGCCCTGACCCGAAATCCAACCAGTGCCCTTTCAATTTGCAGGATGACACTCTACCCACTGAGCAACAACCATTGGGGCATGAATTTCTTTTTTTTTTTTTTAAGATTTTATTTATTTATTTTTTTAGAGAGGGAAGGGAGGGAGAAAGAGAGAGAGAGAGAAACATCAATGTGCGGTTGCTGGGGGTCACGGCCTGCAACCCAGGCATGTACCCCTGAGAATCGAACCTGCAACACTGGTTCGCAGCCCGCGCTCAAACCACTGAGCCATGCCAGCCAGGGCCTGAAGTGCTTCTTCATCTGGAGGTCCCACCCTCACAAGTGTTGCGCCCGCCACCACAAGGTGGACCCATCTCCCTGCTTTGTGCATGGGTATCTGATGCTCAGTGTTGCGATTCTAGTTGGGAAGAAGGTGCCTGGTCAGAGGAGGCCGGACAGGATATGATGGGAAGAGAGCCCCAGGATACCGGACTCCACTGCCAGATTCAGACCTGCTTCCCGCATCTGATGTAGCGGGAGGCTTCTGGGCCAACCAGAGACCCTCGCCCTATTGGCTAGTGCCTTGAGGCATGTGCATACAAGGGGCATGCTGATTGGCAGCGGGTTTTAGACCAATAAATGGGCTTCAGCCTGGTGTCAAAGGTGAGTGGAACACGCCCATTGTTGCGTGACAAGTCATGCGTTGCCTGTGGCAACCGACACGCAGCTTCCTCAGAAGGCTCAGTGCTCCTGCTGCCAGCCAGCGGACTGTCCCGCCAAGGCCACCTTGACCGGGTAACTGTCTCAGCAGAAGCTGAAGTTTTCACACTTGGCAACATGAGCTCACCCGACGAAGACGAGGGATCTGTATCGAGCGCAGAGGTAGACTCAGAGTGCAGGGAGAGGGCCGGCACAGTAGACCTTCCTTTGGGGTCACCACCGAGCAGCGAGGGTGGGGACAAGGGTGAGGGCGAGGGCGAGGGCGAGGGCGAGGGCGAGGGCGAGGGTGAGGTTGCAGGCGAGGGCGGGTTCCCACACCCCGAGGGCTTCCTGGCCCAACAGCATGTGATGGAAGCAGGAGGGCTAGAGCAGCAGGACTGCAAAGGCCAAATGGGATCTCTGGCTGACTTAGAGGGGACACTCGAGGTCTCTAATGGGAATTCCAGAGGGGCTGACTGAGGGAGATACCCAGGGTGTTCACAGGAGCCCCTCCCAAGAGCCCTGTGACAGGGGAGTGTCCACCATGTGGTTGGGACCCAGAGCCTGCTCCCAGTGGTACAGGCATGGTGACCTATGGCTTGGAGGGACTGCAGTTGGCCTCTGGCGCCCCGGTCCACCTCAGAGAGCCTAAGGGAGGCCTGTCCTGGGAAAGCTCCCCAAAATGTGCTAGGTGTACGTCGAAAGCCAGTGGTAGTTACCAGCATCCATTTGAGGAAGGGGCAGATTTCTCCCTGTGGCCCGTCTCCAAGTCACCGGATGAGGTCAGTGAGATGCGCCTGATAAGGTTGATCATTTCTCAGGATGAAGGAGGCCAGGCCAAACCCACCAGCTCCAATGACACACCCGGTCACTCAAGAACCGACATCAGGCAGAAGTTCCTCCTCATGCGGGGCCCTTGCCTGTCCACTCCACAACGACTCACTTCAGGTGTGGAAAGGCAGGGTATTGATGATCCAGAAGTGCCCTCTAAGAAACCAGAGAGTATGATCAGGGGGAAGGCTGAGGGCAGGCCCAGCTACCTGCCCTTAGTTGCTGTTGCAGGTGGCCTGCCCAAGGCCAATCCAAGGAAAGTGTCCAAGCAGAAGACATCTCAGTGGCGGGCCATAGAAGTTGCTCCTGGGAGTTTCTTTCCTCCCTGGTGGCAGAGAGACTCAGGAGGTCTGGAGGATCCAGCCACCTTTCCCCCGATCTCCGATGTGCTGCTGCCTGGGAGGGGCAGGAGGCATTCTTTGGTCCCTTTTGAAACCAAAGAGTCCAAGCCCACTGGCACAGGGCCAAAGTCAATGACATGGAGGAGGAGGGTGTCCAGGCCTGTGGTGGGAGAAGAAGATAAGGAAGAGAAAAAAGATGGATTCCCAGAGAGCCAAGTGAGTATCAGGCCATGCTCCTCCCTGGTTCCCATCCTTCTCCTGCCCAGCCCTGCACATCTTTACCTATGTGTCCTCTGTCTGTTACTCGGAGGTTGTTATTGGGTGCCCTCCATCATTAGAATGCCCGATCAGGGTGGTTTTAGAATGGCAAACCTTAAGACAGCACTGCTTGTGTCGTGGGCAACATACTGCACAAATGGTCAGTTTCCTAGCCTCATCCACCAGAGAGTGGCCAAGATGGCAGGCATGGCTGGGACAGTGGATTAGGATCAGGGACACTTTCAAAGTTTGGGCTGCAAAAGTTAGGTATATGGATGCATCAGCTGCCTGACTCCTACCTCATAGGTACTCCCCAGCCTCCCCTTGCAGGGGGGCCTGCTTTCTCTGCACCCCACTGTTCTCTCCAGCTCAGCTCTGCCTCCTGGCCCAGGGCTGCCTGAGGGAGGATGTGCTGAGGAGCTCAGTCTCGGAACTGCCTTTCCTCTCCCCTGCCCCACCCCAGCCCCTACACACACATAAGCACACACAAGCCCACACTCACCCATGTGTACACATCCTGAGTTCAAATCAATGGGGACTTTTTGTTTCAGTCTCTGACACAAGGGCAGAGACTACCCTTTCCTTGTGGGCATCATGGACCAAGAGGCACTGGCACCATGAACAACAGACACACCCAGGATCTGGCACACTCAGAGCCCTTGGCACTGCTTGGGGAAGAAGTCTTGGCCAGTGGGCCCGCACCTTCCAGTGAGTCCCATGAGTTTGCTGGGAGTGGAGAGGACAGAAGACAAGGAGGGAAATGTCTGCCTCTGCCTCTACCTATGGCTGTGGCTCTGCCATGACCTCAGCCTTCTCCCTCCCTCCCTCCCTAGCCAGACAGTTTCTCCTATAGAAAACAGGGTGTCAATAGGCCTGGACCCAAGTCACCTCATCTCCTGTGTGAGATTTATGTGCAGGGGTCATTTGTGGCAGTGTCGCAAACTGCAACTCCAGACCTTGAGTTTCAGCAGAACAGGGCCTTTTCTGATAAGTCCTGTTGGGCCACAGGGCTCGTCTCCCAGGGGCTGGTTGTGACTGCAGCTCTGCAAGTGTCCAACCCAGAGCCACACACAGTTTTGGGGGCCACAGTCCTGGGTGGGCTGCCCCTGGGACACAGGGAAGGGGGCCCAGAGAGAAACGTGGAGGTACTGGGTAGGGCAGGGGCAACTTTCTGCCAGCAGAGGGAGATGCTGCCTCACCTTAGACTCTGCTAAGCCCTTTCCTCCCTGGGAGCTTTGGAAGCTGTATTTTGTGTTCTTTCCTCTCAGGTGATCTTGACCTTCTTGAAGAACCTCGAAGACCAAAAAGGTTGCAAAAACCACAGCCACAGCAACCACTTGGAGCAGAGGGTTGTCCTTGGGTAATGCTTCCTCTGGCTCCTAGAAATGCAGGCCCAACCTAGACTATGGGATCTGTCTCTGGGTTAGTGACTCATCTCCCACCCCAAACTCCTCACCACCACCACCCCGGACCTCACGGAGGGTACATGCCTCCTTTTCCACTGAGGAGCCCTAGCAGATCTTGCCCCCCTAGATGGGAAGAAGGGGTGTCCAGAGGAGAGGAGGCCTGAGTATGCTAATCATTTCTCTTTCTCTTTTGTCTCTTGGCCTAGTGCTGCCATCTACAGAAGGAAATAAGCTGCTTGAAACAACACTGTGGTATGAGGAACATCTGGCATGGCCTGAGTCAGGGCCACCAGCAGACTTACCATGGGGAGGGTGCGGGCTGCACGTCCCAGGGACCAACATTCCTGTGGGGAGGTGAACCAAGCAGCTTGGCCCTGGAGCCTGCTGTGCATGCGCAGCCAGTTTTCTGGACAAGGAGGAAAAGTGTGGCTCAGAATGCAAGCACACTGTGGCAGCCCCAACCAGTCCTAGAGCTCTCCTTCCCTAGGACGTCTAGAGATGCTGCCTCTCTGATTTTCCCTTCAATACTGCTGGGTATGGCCTCTGTGGGTCTTGTTTGTCTGACAAGTTCTGAGTGGTTCTGATATGCCCCCAAGCTTGAGCACTCCTGGGCACATGTTGTCCTGCTTGAAAAACATGTCCACCTTCCATTCAGGGGGTGGGGGAGTGAGTCAGGCCCAGGGCTCCTTGGGTAGGGTTCTGCAGGGGGGTTTCTGTTGCAGGGCAAGACGCCTTGTCCCAGGGACAAGGGGGGATGGGCTTCAGTATCCCTCCCTCTGGAATGACTGCTTATGCCTCTCTGTGTTTCAGCGGCCTTGCAGTCCCTGGATCGAGAAGCTCCTGAGACATTAATGTGAGTGTTATGCACACCATGCTCTTTCCCCAAAGTGGTGGCTGTTGAGGAGTGCTGTGGGCTGGTGCTGGTGGGACATTCCTTCCTGACTCTGCCCTGTTTGACAGGTGGAACCAGACCCTTCAGCCAAGAACAGCAGTTGGTACCCTGGAGCTGGGGGAACCCTGGCCAAGCTGGATTCTTCCTGTTCCACTTCAGCCAGGGCTTCCTCGTACTCCCTTCTGTTGATTCCTCACCACCTCGTTTGTCAACACTTTTACATTAAAGTCTCCTGAAATTCTGTGGTCTCCGAAAGAAGTGGAGTGTGTGGATGTGGGATTCTGGGCTGGGAGGACCTAGAGCTTCTCCATCTCAGAGCTCTTTGCACAGCAGTAGGCCTGACATTCTGTGGTGGGCTTTTTGCATGCAGGGCTTCGGGGCCAGCATGTGATAGGAGCCCTGCAGTCAGGCCACCTGATGCCCTGGGCCTGGGCTCTGGGTGGCTCTGCCTGGCCACATTGACATTTCCTGCTTTTCCCCTGTAGCCCCTCTTGTGACTCTGTCCTGCTGTCATCTGCATTTGGAGTCTCATCACATTTGTCACTGAATTTTCCCTTGCCTTCAGGAACTCATGACCCCCTTCCAGAGTTCAGTCCCTCTAGCCATCAGTCATCTGTTCCTGGGTGGGTGTTCCATCTGCCCTACATTGCTGTCTGAACATCCTTGATCTCCCCCAGGGCTTCCCACAGTGGCCTTGTCTGAACCTGTGATTCAACAGGTGTAATAGTGCCCAGTTGAGCTCTTCTCCCTAGTTCCCAGGACCAGTCACTGCGGAGTCCTTCCCTCCCTCTGGGGCCCATGTGCACATGTACACTCACCCAGGAACCTGGGGGATATTTTCCTCCCCTTTAGCTCTCACCTTTGATCCTCAGGTATGAGTCTAGTCAGGTCTTCTCTTGGATTCAATGGAGGGGGTGGAGGCAGAAGCCACAGAGCAGGGTCTTCTAGATCAAAGGGGAAGGTTCAGGGATCATGGAGAAAAAAGGGCACACATTGGTCTCCAGTTAAAGGTCAGGGAATCAGTCTTGTGCTAGGTGGTGGCCATGTTCCAGAAGGAGTGGTCACAACCTTCCTGGCCTCCCCCAGCCAATGCTCCTCCTGTAGCCTAGTCATCTCCACACCTTCCTGTGGAAAGTAGGCGGCCAGTGTCTATGGTGAAGGCAGTTAGTAGGTCTCACTCTTGTTGAATGGTGCCTTTCAAATACACTTGGACCCGCCTGGGACTCAGGTTTTCATGGCAATGGTAGTTCTGAGCCCCAGTTCAGTCTCCCATCCTCCCCTCTTAGGTCACACAAGGTTGAGTGTGACTCTGTTCAATTTCCCCTCACTGACTGCTGGGAATTGGTTTCTTCCTTCAGCCAGCACCCAGCACCCAGAGCTGTGCGGGCCTGGGACTCAGGACACACTTGTATTTGAGAGGGTTGGGGGCTGGTTCTGCCACACTCCATTCCCAAGAGACTGGTGTTTAATACACAAATGAGGGATGGTGTGGATAGAACACTCAAGGTAGGGTGTGTGTGTGTGTGTGTGTGTGTGTGTGTGTGTGTGTGAATAAAACTGACCAAGATAACATCCCTTGAGGAGAAACATGTGGTTGGGGGTAAGTCAGTAGTGACTGTGGTCAAGGCCCTTAACACATGGGGGGAGCAAAAGCAAGTGTGGGATGTACCTTTATCAAGGGGGCAGCGTTACATCACCAACACATTGGGGGGTGGTGAGTATGCAGAAGTCCCGCCTTCGACAGGCAGGGTGTCCAGAATATGAAAATGTGGGAGTTGGTGGAGGTGGCTGTGGATCATACTTTTGGACCTATGATGTCTAAGCATTCCTAGAGGCAGGGGGTTAGAAACAGGAAATTTATGTCTCAACAAAAATTGAAAAATTCACAGCAATGTCAAAATTAGACTCTTGAAGAACAAAAAGAAGTCAAGAGAAATCAGAGAGTATGTTGAAACAAGTGAAAAGTGAAGCACAACATGTTGAAATGTATCAGAAGCAGCAAAAGTGGTACCAATGGGGGGAGTTCAGATTCAATAAATACCTACATTAGAAAACAGTGATATAAAAAACCTTAACATTACACCTCGGAGAATTTGAAAAAACAAACTAACCCAAAGGTAGAAGAAAGAAGGCAATTAAAGTTAGAGGAGAAATAAGTAACAGAGTAAAGGAAGAGTGAAGAAACATGAACAAAAGTAAAAGTTAGGTTTTTCCAAAGCTAAGGACAATTCACAAACCCTAAGCAAGGCTAACTAAGAGTAAACTAGAGATGACTGAAATAACACAAATCAGAAATAAAAGAGGAGACATCAAAATGGATGCCTGAGAAATATAAAAGATCATGACAGACCACAATGTGCAATGATATGCCCATACATTGGATAACACAGAGGACATGGTTACATTCCTAGAAGCATACAGTCCACCAAGACTCAATCATAAAGAAATACAAAAAATCTGGATCAGAGCAGACCAAAATGATGATGCATTAGGTCCCAGATTTCCTATGACCCTACAGAGATCAACAAGTGAAGAGCTGTCCCTGAAAAAAGATTAAAATAAAAAAAAAGAAGGAAAAAAAAAGCGAGCTCTTGGAGGGCTCTAGACTCCACTTCAGAAGTCTTAGCAACACAGTGGAACAAAGGCCCTGGGGATGATGACACAAGAAGAGAAGAACAGCTTCATTGGGCCTGTATCATCCCATCTCCCCAGCAGGCATCATTCAGCACCACAGAGAAATCTCCCGGCTAAAAAGAGTTCCTCTCACCAGGAACTCTGCTCACCTCAGCAGGGGAGCACCCCCAACAGCCTTCCAGGATGTCACACAAAGGTCTCAGCTCCATCTCTTCCCATGTAGACCAGCAAAGTGGAGTCATATAGGCCCAGCTGGGAACAAGAAGAAACGCAGGGGTCATTATTAGCAGACATGCAATGGGCACAGTCAGGGAGTGACCTGCTTTGCAGACATACTCAGCAGATTTCACTACAGTTGAAGGCAATGGCCAGCCCCAGAACCATGAACCCCCTGCATATTTACCCAGCTTTCCCCCTGAAAGGTATTTGTATTCTCTTTTTCTAAAAGATTTTATTAATTTATTTTTTGGAGAGGGGAATGGAGCGAGAAAGAGAAGGGGAGAAACATCCATGTGTGGTTGCCACTCAAGCACCCCCTGGGGGATCTGGCCAGCAATCCAGACATGTGTCCTGACAGCAAATCAAACCAGTGACCCTTTGGTTTACAGGCCAGTGCTCAATCCACTGAGCCACACCAGCCAAGACAGTATTTGGATTTTCTGATGCCAGCTTCCCGAGTCCCTTCACATACCCTCCCCTCCACACCTGCCAGAGCTTGGGAGCCATGCTGGGAGCCATGCTGGCAGCCAGCTGGGGCCTCAGCAGCTACATGAGTGCAGGACGCCAGCCTAGAGGACCGCTGGCAGACCCTCACTGCCATGCCTTTGGTCAGGGATAGCCCTGTCAGCTGTGCACCCGCACACCATCAGGCTGATGCCCAAGTCTGGCCTCCACTGCAGTGTGCATGCCCAGGGGGAGAGTGTGCAGCCACAGGGGAGCACACCAACAGCCAGGGTCTCTGCACCTGCTTGTGGGCCCAGATAAGGCCCTGCCTTCAGTCCCTGGCTGGCACCAGCATACCCAGCTGTCACCAGACCCTCCATTGGTGCACCTGCACACCCCCAGCCCGAACCCCATCCCCAGCCTCCACTGCAGTGTGCATGCCTACAGACAGAGTGTGCAGGCATGGAAGAGCATGCTGACAGCCAGGGCCTCTGCAGCCACCAGTGAGCCCAGAGTTGGCTCCAGCCATTGCTGCCCACCCTAGTCCCCATCACTATCTGTATCTGCACCTGGCCCCTGCCACTACAAAAGTACCTGCAGCTGGCCCCCACAGTGGACTGTGTGCACAACACTGGCTCTTGCCATCAACACTGCTTGCTCTGGTCCCTAGCCACCACAACTGGAGATGCCACTGAAGACCCCAACAGACCTTGCAGCCACTGCAGATCCCCTGCAGTGCTCAGCCAAGAGCACACATTTGGTGATGCTGTGGACCCCACTGGCTTCAGCTGACGTGGTATCACACACCCCTGCACCCGGTGCTGTTATGTGCCCCCCACACTTGGTACCCTGCAGCACAATACACAGGCCATGCCATGCTCCAGTGTGCCCCCAACCCACAGGTAAAAGGCTTCCCTTACTGAAGGCAGTCCCTAGAGTCTGGAAGACATGATTGCTCCTTCAACTACACAGAAACCTATGCAAGGCTACCAGAGTCTTGAATGATCTGGGAAAGATGACTCCACTAAAGCAAAGGGTAAACCTCCAGTAAGTAGCCCCAAAGGAATGGCAGTCCAAGGAATGGATCTGACAGGGAATGCAAAATAACGGTTCTAGGGTTTCACAGACAGCTACGAGAGAACACAGATAAGCAATACAATGGTATCGGGAAAACAACAAAAGAACAAAATGAAAGTTCAACCAAGAAACTGAGAATAAGAACCAAGCAGAAATTTGGGGGCTGAACAACACAATGACTGAACCAAACAACTCAACAGAAAGCTTTAACAGCTAGCAGAAGAAGGAATCAGTGACATACTGGGGAATATCCACTGAAATTGTCCAATCAGAGGCACGCAAAGAACAAAGAATGAAAATGAATGGAGAAGCCCTGAGTGGCGTAGCTTAGTGGATTGAGCGTGGGCTGCGAACCAAAGCATCGCAGGTTCGATTCCCAGTCAGGGCACATGCCTGGGTTGCAGG